AATAGGTTAATTTAATAGCTAAGGCTAAACAATTTCTGTAACTGTTTTGGTTTTACAAAGTTGTATTCTTGCCATATTTCCTTTGATACTTTCTAACATTATAGCAACACTAAAACCAGTATGTTCCAGCATGAGAACTCTGAGGGTTGAAATTATTCAGCTAACTTATTGGCTGGTGCTGTATCACTTGAGTCACACCTCCAGCCATGTTTCTTTGCTGGTTATTTTGGAGACAGTCTTACAGACTTTTCTGCTTGGCTGGCTTTGAATCTTGATCCTCCAGATCTTGTCCTCTGGGGCAGATAAACTTATAGGTGTGAGACACTGGTGTCCAGACCATTTTCATTTCTTACTTGTACTAAGGCAGCAGTTTTGTTCAGTAGTTTCTCTGCTGCTAATTTTACCTTCAATAATCTATTCTGTCCACAAAGTGATCATTTAAAACTAATGTAAATTAGTTTTAAAAGCCTAAAAAAATACCATAATTCATGTTATCACCTGCTTAAAAGCTCTTTAACTGCTTCCTACAATTAAAAAAAAAAACTTTCAAAAAACATTTTCTACCAGGGCCTATAAGAAGGCCTGGTGTGATGCAGCCCTTGCTTTTCTGTTTTGCCTCTTAGTTCATTCTTCTTCATATTTTCTGCCATACAGGACATCTTTCCTTTGTTCCCAATTCTCCTTTGCTTCAAGGCCTTAATTTTGGTATTCCTTTGGCTTCAGATGCTTTTTTCCTCAACATTATGTGATAGGCTTTCTTCTAATTCAAAACTCATTTTAAATATTACCTCCTTATTTCAGTTGTCCCCATCTAAAGGATCCTTCCCCTTCCCACATCTTATTACCCTATTTGTTTCCTTAATAGAACTTTATTAATTTGTCTATTTTCTGTTCCTTGAGGGCAGGTACCTTGTCATTCCTGCCACTTCTATACCCCCAGCATGTACAACGGTTCTTGACAAAAGGAAGGCATTCAATAAGCACATCTGTTGTATAAAAGAATAAAGCAACCAATTATACATATATTTAGATGTTAGTGATATATGGTAACAAATGCCAACAACTAATATGTATTTTTTGAGGAAGGACATCATTTTTAGTTTTGTATGGAAATGAACCATGCACCTGATCTGCTATTGTGCATTACAGTCTGTTATTGTACACTAGTCAAACACAATATATTCTTCTGGTCTAGGATTTCCCTTTAGTAATAAGTGGCTAGTTTTTTTTTTTTTTTGGTCCGGTCGTGGGGCCTGAACTCTGGGCCTGGGCGCTGTCCCTCAGCTCTTCAGCTCAAGGCTAGCGCTCTACCACTTGAGCCACAGCACCACTTCCGGCTTTTTTCTTTTTGCTTATGTGGTGCTGAGGAATCGAACCCATGGCCTCATGCATGCAAGGCAAACGCTCTACCACTGAGCCACCTTCCCAGCCTATGTTCAGTGATTCTTACATGGAATTCATAAAGCAAATTAATGTTTTTATGTTTATCAAGTTAATTAAAAGACTCAAGAATACAGCTTATTTTTTTCAAGCTTCTCAAATAGAAAAACAAGCTGTATTTTTTCCACTTAGTTGACATTTCTGAATCTTGATGTCAAAGTTCTTTTTTTTTATTTTATTTTACTTTTTTTTTTTGGTCGGTCGTGGGGCTTGAACTCTGGGCTTGGGCGCTGTCCCTCAGCTCTTCAGCTGAAGGCGAGCGCTCTACCACTTGAGCTACAGCACCACTTCCGGTTTTCTGGTGGTTTATTGGCGATAGGAGTCTCACAGTCTTTCCTGCCTGGGCTGACTTTGAACTGTGATCCTCAGATCTCAGCCTCCTGAGTAGCTAGGATTACAGGTGTGAGCCACCAGCGCCCGGCAATGTCAAGGTTCTTAACCATTTTATTTAAATGAATGTAGTCTCTGAATTTATCACTACATGTTCAGTCTTTTCAAACTTGGATTTTTTTTTTTTTTTTTTTACTAGTACTGGAGCTTGAACTCAGGGCCTAGAACTAGGCACTGTCCCTGAGCTTCTTTTGCTCAACGCTAGCACTCTACCACTTAAGCCACAGATGGTACCACTTCTGGCTTTTTCTGTTTATGTACTGAAGAACTGAACCCAGGGCCTTATGTATGCAAGACAAGAACTCTATTACCACATAAACAGAAAAAGCTGGAAGTGGTGCTGTGGCTCAAAGTGTCTGTAGAGCCCTTAGCCTTGAGCTGAAGAGCTCAGGGTCAGTGCCCAAGACCAGAGTTCAGGCCCCACGACCAACAAAAAAAAAAAAGAAATTATTATAACAATAGTAAAATTTTCACATTGTGCTCAGCAATATAGTAGGCCCTTTCTAACATGTAATTGAAATTTTAAAAAATGTAAGTTTTTTTTTTTTTTTGGTCATTGGGCCTGAACTCTGGGTCTGGGCACTGTCCCTGAGCACTTCAGCTCAAGGCTAGCACCACTTCCAGTTTTCTGGTGGTTGACTGGAGATAAGAGTCTCATGGACTTTCCTGCCTGAGCTCCTTTGACCTGTGATCCTCAGATCTCAGTCTCCTGAGTAGCAAGGATTACAGGCATGAGCCACTGGTGCCAGCAATGTAATTTTTTAACTAGGAAGAATTTGTATATATTTAAAATTTCAAGTTAGCTTAAGTAAATTCTTCTAGACAAGTTTTGTTTTTTATTAAAATTAACCACTGAAAATTATAACTAAAATAAAGCCAAGTTTTTCCCTTGTGTAACAAATGCCCTTTGTTAATTAGGTCTCAGTTTGTATACTGGCCACATTTGGCAAAGTCCAGTCTTTACCCAAAATAGTAACAACCTGCTCTGGATGGCAATCAAGTAGCAAATCTATTTTTGGCTTTAATGTTTGAAACTCCAAATACCAGATGCCATAGAACTAAACCTTAAATGGCATAAGTTCTGATGGGCTACTTAAAACAGAATACAGGGGTTTGGGCCCTCCAAGACACCTGTTTCTTTATAAACAAGTAAATGTCAAGTTTAGTAGGGCAATTCATATCTAATACTGACATATGTAAAAACTAAAATAATTGGGGTAGAACAAAATGATGTAAATTCAGTGTTCATCTCTAACATCACTCTGAATTTCTGTGTTTCTAGTTTCTCTGTGTGTGTGTGTGTGTGCGCGCGCGCGCGTGTGCGCACGCACACGCATGTGATACTTCCAGGGCTTATGCTAAGGTCTTGCATTTTCGCTTAGCTTTTTCACTCACAACTGGTGCTCTGCTAATTGAGCCATGTCTCCAAGTTTTAGTTTTTGTTTTTTTTTTTTAATTGTTTTTTTGGTCTGGTCGTGGGACCTGACCTCTGGGCCTGGGTGCTGTCCCTCAGCTCTTCAGCTCAAGGCTAGTGCTCCATCACTTGAGCCACAGTGCCACTTCTGGTTTTTTTCTTTTTTGCTTATGTAGTGCTGAGGAATCGAACCCATGGCCTCATGCATGCAAAGCAAGCACTCTACCACTGAGCCACCTTCCCAGTCCCAAGTTTTAGTTTTTAATCTTGTTACCTGTCTCTGAGTGTGCTGGGGCCTAGATAAGGATAGAGGTTTTCCTTAAGTCTTCCTTTGATGAGATGGTCCAAAGTTTCATGTAGGAAGGGCTGATGCTGTGTATACACATTTTCTACTCCCTAAAATGGGGAGATGGTTTTTATGTTATTTTTAGAATCTAGCAACATAACAGTCAATAATACTCATGTTAGGAAAGGACATGCACTCAATAGAGATTTAATGGACTATATTCAAATAGGAATTTTAGAATATTTAAAAATCACTTTAATTACCTAGAATATTCCAAGCCAATCACATAAAATACTGAATTTAAGGCTAGTTATTGAAAAATAATTTAAAAACTGCAATTGCCTAACTCTTAACCTTCACAGTTTCATTCTTCTGTGAAAATGTTCAATATAGGTAAAACAAACCAAAGAAAAGGACTGTATAAAGAAGGAGACTGTAACCACACAAGAAAACAAAACCATCAGGAAATATAAGACAGGTTGGCAGATCAAAATATAATTTTGGCCATTAAAAAAAGTAGTATTCTTAAAAGAGCAACTGGGACTGGGAAGGTGGCTCAGTGGTAGCATGCTTGCCTCGCATGCATGAAGCCCTGAGTTCAATTCCTCAGCACCACATAAGCAGAAAAAGCTGGAAGTGGCACTGTGGCTCAAGTGGTAGAGTGCTAGCCTTGAGCTGAAGAGCTGAGGGACAGTGCCCAGGCCCAGAGTTCAGGTCCCACAACCGGGGGAGGGGGAGGGAGGGAAAAAAAAAAGAAAAAGATCAACAAATGCTTTCTTTCTCTTTTATTTTCCTTGAAAGAGAAACTACCTAGCAAATCTTAAATTATAAACATGGAAAAAATAGCTATGACTAATGGAACTGTTTGGCTTTTTACTCTTGAATACTTTCTGGAAATGTCTAGTTATTTCCTGCTCAGCTATTTGATCCAATGCTGATACAGCTGTAATATAGAAAGCACTAAAAAAGAAAGCTTTCAAGAGCATATCTGCTCTAATTTCATTTAATTGACATAGTACTAAACCAGCAGCAATCCATCCTAAAGATACTTTTAAGATCATATTCCTTTCACTCTCCGCTTTCAAAGACTTCCTCTATTTCTCATTTAAGGATGCATGGAAGAGATATCTTACCTTCAGTCCTTTGAGAAACTGTTTGGTAATAGCTACAGCATCTTTGGGGCTGAAGAGGTCACTTCCTCTAACTCGTTTACCACCGTATTCAACAACTGCAGACACGAGCTATAAAAAGCAAAAAAGAGAGAAATAATCTTTTATTGCTTTGGGGTCAAGAATCTCACTTTATAAAGAAATAAGTTTAAGCTGGGTGCCAGTGGCTCACGCCTGTAATCTTAGCTACTCAGGAGGCTGAGATCTGAGGATCACAGTTCAGAGCCAACCTGGGCAGGAAAGTCCATGAGACTCATATCTCTAATTAACCACCAAAAAAAACAGAGGTAGTACTTGGCTCATGTGGAAAGCGCTTGCCTTTTGCTGAAGAGATGAAGGACAGTGCTCAGGGCCCAGAGTTGAAGCCCCACGACCGACAAAAAAATTTTTAAAAAAAGTTTATTAAAGAAATAAAGATATTAAAGGAGAAAATTATACATTTCTTTTCTATAAATGAAACAAAATCATGCCAGGTACTGGTGGCTCAGTCCTGTAATCCTAGCTACTCAGGAGGCTAAGATTTGAGAATCACAGTTCAAAGTCAGTCTGAACAGGAAAGCCCATGAGATTTTTTTTTTTTTTTTTTTGGGTCCAGTCGTGGGGCCTGAACTCTGGGCCTGGGCGCTGTCCCTCAGCTCTTCAGCTCAAGGCTAGCACTCTACCACTTGAGCCACAGCGCCACTTCCGGCTTTTTTTCTTATGTGGTGCTGAGGAATCGAACCTAGGGCCTCATTCATGCAAGGCAAGCGCTCTACCACTGAGCTACCTTCCCAGCCCCAGCCCATGAGATTTTATCTCCAATTAACTACCCTCAAAAAGCTGTAAATAGAGATGTGGTTCAAGTAATAGAGCACTAGCTTTGAGCACAAAAGCTCAGAGACAGCACCTAAGCCCTGAGTTCAAGCCCTAGGATCAAACAAACCCAGAATTACTTTCCCACCCAACCCCGTTACCTTTCGATACTTCTCAGAAACACCTTTGTTTCTGAGGTCAACTATTAGTCCTGGAAGGCTGTTGCTGCTGTGTCGCTCATAATGTAAAGCATAAAGCATCACCAGACGGGCAGCATCAAACTCTGTCACTTTGGGGTTCTGCAGAAGTCTCTTTACATTCTGAAGAAAGATAGATCTGATAGTTATTCTCCTTTCACTTAAGAGATCTCTTGTATAATCCCTTAGATCTATCTAGTTAACTATTGAATGATAGTGACCAAAATAACTACTATGGCAATGTACAGGTCATACTGCCTCAACATAGAAAATTAACTGCCTTTTTTTGCCCAAGATAAGATCTAAGTAAGAAAATTCATTCCCATTGTTACTTTCTTGCTGAAATCAGAAAAAGATACTACCTTCCGCCGCTTCAATCAATATAATATATAACTGAACTTGCTAGTACTGACAAGATGATTTGCAAACCTCTTAGTGCTATTAATGGATCATTGCAATGGAGACAGGTAGGTAGAATTTCACATAGGACTGGATTAATTTCTAAGAAACATCAGAAGTAACAATGTGCCTCAATACGGTTCCAGAGACATGAGAATGTGACAGCATGTAATCTTTAAAACTGATACCTGTCATCTTAAGGTATAGGAACTGAGAGCAAAGGGAATCAGAAGAAACTATGTCATCCTCACATCAAGGACTTCCTTTTTTATATTTATTTATTTTTTTAAAGTCCCAAACACTTTCTCATCTTCACAATGATAGTCAGCATTATCTTAATCTACATCGCTTATGAACTCTATGACCTTTAACAATAAAACTATTTGTTTTTTACAAATCAGGTGATATGTACATTTCTTTCCTTTTGCTTAGAATCAGCTGTTCCCTTTTTCTCCCTCATGCCCTCCCTCCCATCACTGAAGGGCCTCCTTACATGGTACACATTTTATTGCATAGCAAAGAATTTAACTCAAACCGACATATACATTTTGAGGCTCCACAAGGTGTTGTGTATGCCAAGCACTGCTAGGGAAACACAGATGAGTGAAGCCAATTTCTGTCCCATTTTATTGGTTGAGATGGAGTCTACAGGAATTTTGCCTAGTCTTGTCTTGAACCTTGATCCTTCCTATTTCCTTACCTTCTCAGTGCTAGGATTACATGTATGAGTTGCCATGCATGGTACCACTCCTATTTTTCCTGAGATTTAGTATAGTATTTAGATATACTGACTTGTCTGAGCTCACCCTTGAAGACTTGGCACAGATCTGTGGGATGACTTTGTTTTTTTGTTTTGGGTCCGGTCGTGGGGCCTGAACTCTAGGCTTGGGCGCTGTCCCTCAGCTCTTCTGCTCAAGGCTAGCGCTCTACCACTTGAGCCACAGTGCCACTTCTGGCTTTTTTCTTTTTGCTTATGGGATGCTGAGGAATCGAACCCAGGGTCTCATGCATGCAAGGCAAGCACTCTACCACTGAGCCACCTTCCCAGCCCCTGTGGGATGACTTTGAATAGTCTATTTTGCCCACTTTCGAGCTACCAGGACCTACCTCATGTCTCAAGTCCATGTTCTAGCTAGACTTACCAACAGTAATCTATAGGTATGAGCCAGCACAAACACACACAAAAGTAGATAATGAGCTGGGGCTGTAGCTCAATAGCAGAGCTTTCCTAGCATGAACAGGCCTTGGGTTTGATCATCAGAACTAAAACAGATAATAATGATGATGGTAATAATATAAAAGTAGATACTTAAAAATATGAGCTTTGTGATTCACTTAATATTTTTAGAACTTAATTTTACTGAGGATTTCTTGTTCAGGGTGCTAGGGTTTTACAACAAGCAATACATATGGACTCCCCAAATCATAAAGGATTTCTTTGATAACATGGTTTGAATAGTCCATAAAGGGAACTTTTGTTTAACAGCAAGTGAAGGGGTTATAACCCTTCTATGGGTTATAACATTTCGTGGCTTGACCTTAGATAGTAATACGTCAAAAAGCAATGAATTGAAGTTTGCAGTTGAGATGGAATTTGTTTTATTGATCATGGTAAGTAAAAAATGCACATATTCTGCCACTTCTAACTACTTATTCTGCAGGCTAACAAAAATTTGGTTCCAGAACCAAACATGCACCATTTAAGCATATCCATATCCTCAAAACAGATGAATTTGACTAATAGTGAAGATTTTTCAGATCATGAGGAGAAACATCCTTGGAAAGTTCATATTACAGGTTTTCATTTGGAAGGGGAAAAAAAAAACAAGATAAAATTAAAACCGTGATAAGAAGGTACTTTACATAACTATACAGCAATAGTATCATTGTGATTTTCAACACTGTGATGTTTCCAGAGGAAATTTTGATAAGTATTTAAAAAATTAAAAACAAAAATGGTGCCAGGCATGACAGCACATCACTATAAATCCAGTGTGCAGGAGACTGAAGTAGGAGGCTTGTGAATTTGAGGCCAGCCTGAGCTACATAGAAAGACCCTGTCTCAAAAAAACTGAAGAGGCTCTGGAAGCATGGCTCAAGTTGTAGAGTACTTGCTTGGCAAGCATGAGACCCTGAGTTCAAATCTCAGTATTGCTACAAACAAACACATACACAAGAGGAAAAGAAACCCAAAAAACCTAGCCAAACTAAACTAGTAACAACAAAACCTTGTAAGTCCTAGTAAGGGCCTTGGTATAAGACAGCAGTCACAGGTGGAATACCTTTTTTTTGATTTCACCATGTATATAAAAAAGTTACATTTAGGGAAAGGGAACCAACATTACAAAGCATCTATCATATGTGAGGCATAGCACACTGAATTCTCATAACAACAGCAAAATTTGGAATCATTATTCCTGATACATAGGCAAAGGTGGTAATTTCCCCAAAGAAAGTGGTAAATAGAAACAGGATGTAAGCCGGGGAAATCTGACTCCAAAACCTATGCTGTTTCCAATATACCAGGCTGACATAATTTTATAAAATAAAGTAGAAATGCAGCAGAGAAAGGAAAGAAACTAAATGTTAAAATACCATGGCCTATAATTGTGCTTCTTGTAGGTAACTTAGAAATGAGCTAACTCTCAAAAGATTTATTCCTAAATTACTTGTCAGTGGTACCTCTGACATCATTTTTTTTGTCATTTGACAGAATGATCGTGTCATTTCTCAGGAACCTTGGAATTACCTCTAATTTGTTCTTTCTATCCTTATATCCAATCTGTCATTTAATTCTTTTTTTTCCTCGTTGCTATGTCTCCCAGATTTGTACCTTACTAGACATTTTTATTGCTATCTCTGTAACTCTACAAGGCTCTCTGGCTTCCATTTTTCACCTCTAGCATGTTCTTATTAGAATTTCCCAAAATACATAACAACTTTGTATGTAGACCCTATAATGGATCTCCGTCTATTTTAGCAAATAGGAATTATTCTTACATGCATCTTCATATACTAATTCCTGTTTATGAATTCAATTTTATCTTCTATATCTCTTCTATATCCGTGCTAAAGAAGTCAAACTATTATTTCCTGTGTCCTTTTGCATCTTTGCTTTTATTGTTCTTTTTCGTGTGTGCATATATAGTTCCATGGCTTGAACTCAGGGCCTTGGGCTCTTGCTTGGCTTGCTTACTCACAGCTGGCACTCTATCTCTTGAGCTCCAGAAAGGCTTTTTGCTGGTTAGTGAGGGATCAAGAACTTTTCTGCCTAGGCTGGCTTTGAACCACCAAACTTGATCTCAGCCTCTTGAATAGTATTACAGGAGTGAGACACCAGCACCTGGCTTGTTATTTCTGGATAAAAATTCTCCTTCAAAATCTTATTCATTCAAGGTTGGAAGCATGGCTCAGATGGTAGAGTACTAGCCTGCTGGATGCTGGTGGCTCACTTCTGTAATCCAAGCTACTCAAGAGACTGAGATCTGAGGACTGAGGTTTGAAGCCAGTCTGGGCAGGAAAGCCCATGAGTCTCTTATCTCCAGTTAACTGACTAAAATAGCCATTAGTGGAGCCGTGGATCAAGTGGGTAGAGTGCTAGCCTTTAAGCAAAAAACTAAGAGATAGTGCCCAGGCCTGAGTTCAAGACCCAAGACCAACATCAAAAAAAAAAAAAGAAAAAAATTTTGTTCGCTCTTTATGGTTCCTCTTAATGTTGTCTTTTTAGAGAAACACTGCTAGTACCCTTAAGTCCTATTACAGTCAGCATCACAATTTTGACTTAAACATTATCTTGAAATATTATCCAATGTTTTTGCCTTAGTTTTGTCTCTTCAACGAGACATTAAATTTCCCGAGGTCAAGATCTGTCACTTCTAAAATCCTCCAGTAGCTTTCATCATTTTGGCATTAAAGTCCAACCTCCTTTCAATCTGTTCCAGTCTGTTTTCCTAGATTATCTAAAACCACTCCTTGGGTCATATCTTGAACTATTACCTGTTTACACACACGTACCTCTATGCCTACATTTTCTCTGCTGAGAATATTCCTCCTTTTTTCTCTACTTGATATTTTTACTCATTTATCTGTCCAGATCCAGTTTGTATGTCATGTTCTCTAAGAAACATTAAGAAGCCTCATCATTGGAGAAATCAGCTGTTCTTCCTCTGTATTTGTATATTCTTTTGTAAATCCTTCCATGGAAGTGTTTATTGCATGGTATTATAATTCCTTTTCATTTCTTTCTTTCCTTCTATAGTGCGAACACATTGAAAAAGAGGTATCTTATTCATCTTTTTATCCTAAGTCATCAAAAAAAGTATGTACATGTAGCAGACATTCATATGTTTGTGGAATGAAAAGCAATCTTAAATTAATAAAAAAAGAAAAAAAGCTTATCTGTCATATGTATTATACCTATTTTATAAATGTAAAAACTGGTTCAGAAGTTAAATCAACAACTCCAGGTTATAGAGTCAATAAGTGGTAAACCAAACACTAAAATTCTAGTCTAACACTCTTTCTAGTAAGTAAGGATGCTTTGATAAATACTCAATGAACCCACTGAACCCTTGGGATTAGATGTTAACTTCTGTGATTCTTATACATCCATCTTAAATAGTATTCATTTGTTCTTGCCTCAACTCCTTGTTTAAGCCAAATTGTTAAGCCATGTTGGTGAAGGTTTACTTGCCTTTGCATCTCTTGCTTTGCCTGGTACAGTGTTTTACATATAGTAGGTGCTCATCAAATTAGACTGACCTGAAGAGCACTAGAATGGTCATTTTGACAGGCCAATTCTTGCTCAACCTCTGAAACTTCCAGCAGATTCCGCTCACTGACCAACCGAGACAGTTCTCCAACTACTGTCACATGCTTTGATACAGTCCCAGACATCTTCTTAAACTGTGGATAATTCTCAACAAAGGCCTGCCAAGGGAAAAACATCAGTGAGAGATTGTGTTACTTTTTGAATGAGGATAGGCATGTATGAAGAAGTAATTTTAAAAAGCAAGAGTAATTTTTCTGTCCAGGCAAAGACATCTACTACTCTTAAACACAAGGCATTTTATTATGCTTAAGTCTATGTTAAAGATTGAGTGTTCAAAGAATCATGAAAAACAGAAAAAAAGCACATGGCTGATGATGAATGTTGCACTGTATTATTTACTAAAAGAGGGACATCAAAGAAAATGTCTTAAATGAAACAAAGTGAATCAGGTAGAAATAAGATCCAGAATATCTCAGAAATGTCGTTTACATGTGTAGTTCCAAAGACATATATAAGACCATTGATGTATTTGATTTACCTTCATGTCTGCTATTGATTCTAGTTTTTGTTGTTCTTTTGGTTTCCTCTTCTGGAAGTCTTCCATAAGATTCTTTATATTGCTACCAATCTCTGCAAAGTTTAGGTACATATTCTGTGAAAAAAAAAAGTTGGAAGGGGCTGGGAAGGTGGCTCAGTGGCAGAGTCCTTGCCTTGCATGCATGAGGCCCTGGGTTCGATTCCTCAGCACCACATAAGCAGAAAAAGCTCCAAGTGGTGCTGTGGCTCAAGTGGTAGAGCACTAGCCTTGAGCTGAAGAGCTGAGGGACAGTGCCCAGGCCCAGAGTTCAGGTACCATGACTGGCAAAAAAAAAAAAAAAAAATGTTGGAAGTATAGTTCATCAACTAGTTTGACTATTTAAAATAAGAAATGAAAAAGAATCATGAGCATAGTATTGAAGGGCAAATTCCATTTTAATTACCAAATCTGGACATTATCCAGAATCTAGTGATGAATACCATTATTATTCTCACAAGGAGCTACTGGAAGGAAGGGAAGTAAATAACTATGTGATTTCTATGAAAAAAAAGTTAATAGGTCAGAATTGAAGCCTTTTTGTTGCGCTAAGATGCATCCTGCTCTCGTCCTTTCACATGAAATCCCACATGTGTCCCCACTCTAACAAAACACTGATCTTCTCACATAAAAAGAGCTGGACAACTAGAAACAATAAAAAAAATTAAAGCCACGTACATTAGCATAGAATTCATCATTTTCAGCAGATAGGACCACCTCTCGTAAGTCTTTACTGATCCCCGGCACTCTGGAAAGATCAATCCGATTGTTGTTTATGCCTAGGAGTTCATGAACCATGGCCTGGTATGTCCACTAAACAAAGAATTATAATAAAAATGGTAGTAACTCATAAATGGAAATATTAAATGTTCATGAAAACAAACAGAACTATTAACATTCTCAATAACTAGCCTGTGTTACATGAAGATTCTCTAGTTAGTTTATATTACTCTAATTCTTCATGCCACAATATGTATTAAGATTGTCATTTTTTAATTGGTTAAACACCCAAAAGTCAAAATACTTTTTGATTTCACATTTTAAGAAGAAGGGCAGCAAGATGAATATTCATGATAGAAAGAAAACAAATTAGATCTATCATTAGCTCCAAGTTTTGCCTGTGAATTAAGAGTATATTTTTGGCTTCACAGATAGGGCTATATTGGTACTGCAGTTACAAGCTGTACCATTTCCTGTGCGCTTCTGTGGTTTTCTGCAGCAGGAGAAGTGTGTTCTTGCAGATCTGAGTGGTGCTATATTTACCCTGGAACTACTAATAGTATCAGAAAAAAAAATTGTGAGTTGATGAAAACATTGGCACATTCAGAAACCTGCCTCTGAATTTATTATATTTTATATTTTACCTAGAATGAGTTGTGAAGGATCAGTTTCCATCTTTAAAAATGTAAATGTATTTGGTAAAACCAGCAAAGAGAAACTACAATTTTGCTTTGTCCCTATTTATGAAGAATGGATTACTTTTATTCATAGGCTCATTACAAAAGTAAGTAGAATCCAAATGCTAGAAATATTGTATATTTGTAGCATATACATTTTATCTCAAACTAAATTTATTAAGAAATAATTTAAGAGATAATAAAGAAGGTATTTTATTTCCTAAAAGTATTTGCAAGTTCCTTTAGGGCTTAAATTAAGAACAACAAAGATTTATGTTTCTGTGGACAGCATTCTGTGCTTGGTTCTACAGCACTTACTCTATAATGAAAATGATCATTTTTTTCTTTCTTCATTGGATCATGAGTTCTTTGAGGATTCAGACTATATCTCTAACCTATTATTGCCAATGCTTAGTTCAATACATGGTACAGGTTCTCAGTGAAATTTATTGAATAAATAGTTGCTTTTCTTCGGAACACAGAATTATAGACAATTATATTTCTTTCTACTCTTTTATACTATCAAAAGTTCCTTTAGTGAACAATTTTAGAAATGCAGAGTTCCCTTTACACGATAGAGAAGTTTTTTTCACTCTCCAACCACAGATTGGACACTATCATAAGCTGGGAAGAAACTGAACATAGATTATGCCTTTCTTATAAATCCAGACACTTGGCGCTGGGAAGATGGCTCAGTGGTAGAGCGCTTGCCTTGCAAGTCTGAGGCCCTGGGTTCGATTCCTCAGCACCATATAAGCAAAAAGAAAAAAGCCGGAAGTGGTACTGTGGCTCAAGTGGTAGAGCGCTAGCCTTGAGCTGAAGAGCTGAGGGACAGCGCCCAGGCCGAGTTCAGGCCCCACAACCGGACCCCCCCCCAAAAAAAATAAATCCAGACACTATTAACAGGGCACCTTATTATGTGTAAGGAACTATGTTTTCACGTGTAAGAAAATAAACACTGGTGATATAGTTTCACCAGGATAAAACAACCAAAGTTACAACTTGGTGAAGTATGAGATGTAACAAGAAGTTCTACAGTGAGTTTAGGGAGAAAAGAACATGCCTGACTGAAAGAACACAGTACAATCTCCAAAGAGATTTTATGTGGCTTTTGGGTGGTCCTAAGGACAAGTATTTTGTTTTGTTTTGTTTTTATTGGTCTTGGCGCTTGAACTCGGCCTGGGCGCTGTCCCTGTGCTCTTCAGCTCAAGGCTAGAGTTCTACTGCTTGAGCCACAGCACCAACTCCAGCTTTTTCTGTATATGTGGTACTGAGGAATCTAACCCAGGGTTTCATGCATGCTAGGCAAGCACGCTACCACTAAGCACCTTCTGAGCCCAGGACAAGTATTTTGAAAGGTGAAGATGGGAAGGAAAAGTATTCCAAACATTCCAGAGTCTAGACAATAGTTAAGAGTAAAAGCATGATGGCAAGAAATGATATGGCATCTTTGCATCAGTGAGCTGAAGGTTTTGTGCAAGGTTTGGTACATGCTATGAAAACTCTTTCTAACCCAGTAGGCAAATGGGAACCAACAAAGATTTCTAAGCCAGGATCAATAGGCTTACTATTATTCAGGAAAAGTCAGTTAACAACATTGGGTTTGTAGAATATACTCAAGTGAGAATAAATTAAAAGTGAGGAATCAAAGCCAGGAGCTGGTGGCTTACGCCTGTAATCCTAGCTACTCAGGAGGCTGAAACCTGAGGATTGTGGTTCAGTGCCACCAGGCAGGAAAGTCTGTGGGACTCTTATCACCAACTAACCGCCAGAAAACTAGAAGCGCAGCTGTGACTAAAAATGGGAGAGCATTAGCCTTAAGCAAAATTGCTTAGGGAAAGAGACCAGGCCCTGACTTCAAGCCCTATGACCAGAAATAAGTAAATTAATAAATAAAGAATCAAGTAGATGCTATTCCACAAGAAATGAGGGTCTACAAGGAAATAACAACAAGACTGGGAAAGAAAACAGAGAGAAGGAAATATTGGAAATTAGAAACTACACAGTTTAGCCGGGCGCCGGTGGCTCATGCCTGTAATCCTAGCTACTCAGGAGGCTGAGATCTCCTGAGCAGGAAACTCCGTGAAACTCTTATCTCCAATAAACCACCAGAAAACCGGAAGTGGCGCTGTAGCTCAAGTGGTAGAGCATTAGCTTTTGAGCTGAATTGCTGAGGGACAGCACTCAGGCCCAGAGTTCAAACCCCACGACTGACAAAAAAAAAAAAAAAAAAGAAACTACACAGGAGTTACTTTGATTAGAAGTGGGAGCTTTGTAGAAAGGGATTGGAAAGATAATGCAGAACAAGGAGTTAACAATGTGGCTGGAAAAATGATACTAAACTACAAGGAAATATAAGGCAAAAACCAAGAGTAGCTGACAATAGGAGGCAAATAGAATGGACAATATTACTTATTTCCATATCTGCACTTTGACGAATACCACTTAAAATCATCCTTTTTTTAGGCTAATAGAAGGCTCTGCACCTGGTTGAGTAAAGGAGTGATGGCATCATCGCAGCGATCTAAAATAAGTAGTAGTGGAGGAACCTCTGTCCGCCGGAATTCAAACAGTTCATACTCCTTAGTAATCACTTGCTGGTGATGTAAAAGAGAAAAATTGCCTGGTCAATTAGTTGTCTACAGAGATGATAAAAATAGTAAATAAATAAAAAACATACACAGTTCTTTGCATCTTCATGGGCTTTCATAAAAGAACTCAGAAGTTTCACAAAGTTTTACAGCATACCATTTAAGAGGTTAAAACTTGAAACCCTACTTTACAAGTGGCTTACCTGGACCTCAAAGTGTTAAATAGCTTGTGAATGTGCCTTAGGTTAAACCTAACAGTCTTAGCTATTAATTTGTTACTTTTTTGTTTTGAATTCTATAGACGTGCTTCTTTGCCAGTAAATATAACAAATTGTTAACAAAAAATATTCCTGACAGTTTCTGAAATATGAGACATGACTGGATTTGATGTTTCAGAATCAAGGATAGGTACATATGCATGAACACACATACATACATAGACATATATACATAGATACACAGCATTTATGCATATGAGAGACAGAAAATTAACAGTACAATCTCCAGGTAATGAGATTATACTCATTTCTAATTTCCTTCTTTGTATTTTCTATATTTTCCAACATGAAATAAATGAATACATATTTGTTACTCAACAGATTAATAAATTTACTTAAAAGAAAAAAAAAGAATCCAGGATAGGGAATGCCATACCTTAACACATTCTGCAAGTCTCTTTGCTGCCTCTGATGAAAGCTGATAACGGATCATGGGACACTTCTTCAGAGATAAAAGGAGAGCTGTCAGTCCTTGAGTTGTTCTGGAGAGCTGGGCTGGATCCCAGTTTCGACCCTATTTGTTAAAAAACATTAAATTCAAAGATGTTTTAATTTTTTTACCTGTCCAATTATTATTAACTTCCAATTGATGAATTAATTTAGTTTTAAGTCTTTTTTTCCATACCTGACAACAACCCAAAATATTGAGGGAAAACAAATGTGGATTCACAGCAATATAATCACCATAAAATTCCTGAAATAAAGCACCATGATCAGTCATTCTATGAACTTCAATTATAACAAGCAGAAATATTTTCATATATGATACAAGATATAAAAAGATACGAAAACATTAAAGTAAGTAATAAAAGGGTGAAGAAATTAAAATAATTGTAAAATCTTTTTTTAAAAAAAACTGTAGAGGTACACATATTTCTGGAGGTCTCCAGGCCTTATTTTATTAGTAAAAAATAAAACCCTGTCATGGGATATACAGTGTTACATTATACCTAGATAAAAGAACTTTGCTGTCCTTTTATTTCTTTCCAATATAGTCTCATGAGGGACAATATGATTTAAAAGAAGTTATCTTTTTATTAATTTATCACCTAGGATGTTCTTCTGAAAAATTCAAAACTTTGCTGCTTATGAAGGCACTATTTTTCACTTAGGTGATAAATATATCCAAATGTTTGTGATAAATGTATTGTGAACAGTGTATTAAGTAGTCAAGAAGGAAAAGGTAACATAATATGCCCTAACATATATATGGCATGCTAAATAATGTTTATAGAGTTTCCAAAATTTTACCTAATAACAATAGTTCAGAAAAGAGAAAATTACAAACAGTAACTATAAGAAAGCTCCCTTACAGGGCTGGAAATGTGGCTTGTGGTAGAGTGCTTGCTTAGCATGAATGAAACCCTGGGTTCGATTCTTCAGTAACACATAAACAGAAAAAGCTGCAAGTGGTGCTGTGGCTCAAGTGGTAGGGTGCTCGCCTGGAGCAAAAGAAGCTCAGGAACAGTGCCCAGGTCCTGAGTTCAAGCCCCTGGACTAGCCAAAACTAAAAGAAAGCTCTTACAATATTTACTTCCTACTGGCCCAATCAGGCACAGTCCCATTGATGAATGTACTTGTCTTGACCCTGTGAAGCCCTGCTTACCAACTCATTGCCCATTCTTCTTCTTTCCACTGATTCCTTTCAGATCCAATTTGATACCTCTTTCAACCTTTTACATGTAAATACAGTCTCGTGTAATGCACATTTATTTGTCTGCTCAATTGCCTCTCTTGAGACAGCATCTTACTTTTACACTAAAATCTTTTCAAAGAGCTAATATAAGAGATATGTTACAAAACCAACTTATTTACCTGAACCTCAGCCACAACTTCCTGTTCATCAGCTTCAGCTAATGATTTCACATCACTTTTGCTGATCACATTACTGAAATCTGAAACAGACACAGGAGTTCCATTTGACTGTAAGGAGATTATCTCTGCTGCAACTAGACATAAATGGGCCTGATAGTTAAAACCTAATAAGTAAAGTTTAGTTCAAAATATGGTATATGCCAAAGCCATACGCCTTCAAATTGAAAACAGTTTATAAATGCTTAAATCGATAAATAATACAAAAAAGACCACCATAGGAAATACTAGAGAATCTTCTTAGGCAATCAAGTCATTATATGAAAATAGTAAATCAAGGGAAAAAAGCAATTCTTCCTTTTAATCCTTTCTTTTATGTAAATTATATTAAATAGTAGATGAGGAATTTTTTTCAGTCCTGGGATCCAAACCTATAGCTTTGCCCATATAGGCCAAAAACTCAACCATTGAACTACATTCCCAACCCTTAGAAAAATTTTCTCATTTTTAATTTATTTTTTGTTGTCAGTTGTGGGGCTTGAACTCTGGGCTTGGGTGCTGTCCCTCAGCTCTTCAGTTCAAAGTAAGCACTCTACCACTTGAGCCACTTCTAGTTTTCTGGTGGTTAATTGGAGATAGGAGTCTCATGGACTTGGCTGCCCTGGGCTGGCCTTGAACCACCATCTTCAGATCTCAGTCTCCTGAGTAGCCAGGATTACAGGTGTGAGCCACTGCTGCCCAGCTAGAAAAAAATTCTTTATAAAATATTTCATCTAGCCGGGCGCTAGTGGCTCACGCCTGTAATCCTAGCTACTCAGGAGGCTGAGATCTGAAGATCGCGGTTCAAAGCCAGCCCGGGCAGGAGAGACCGTGAGACTCCTATCTCCAATAAACCACCAGAAAACCGGAAGTGGCGCTGTAGCTCAAGTGGTAGAGCGCTCGCCTTGAGCTAAAGAGCTGAGGGACAGCGCCCAGGCCCAGAGTTCAAGCCCCACGGCCGACAAAAAAAAAAAAAAAAAATATTTCATCTAGCCAAGTGCTGTGACCCAAGCTATTTGGGAGGCAAAGGTTTGAGGGAGCAAGATTTGAGGCCAGTTCATCATAACAGTTCACAAGACTAAGACTCCATCTCAACCAAATGGCTGAGCTTTGGTAGCTGGCACCTGCTATCCCAGCTTTGGGATAATATAATGGGTAGGCCTGGTACTGTGAGCCTGTCACACCAATGACTCCAGAAAGCATAAATAGACAGGCTGCAGCCCATGCCAACCAGAATATAAAACTAGTCCCTACTCTGAAAATAACCAATGCAAAAATGGGCTGACAGTGTGGCTCAAGTTGTTAAATCACTTGCCTGGCAAGCACAGGACCCAGATTTTAAATCCCAGTACTGAAAACAAAACCAAAAACAAACTAAAAATAAAGAAGAAAGCCAGGTGTAGCAGCACATGCTGTCCAGAGTAGTCCCAGCCAGCACTTAGGAGACTACATTAGGAAGGTTGTAAGTTTGAGGCCTGCTTGGATCATACAGTAAACTCAAGGCCAGCTTGAGTTACATAACTCAATCTACAAACAACCTATAAAAATCACTACCAAAGCAAAAATATAGAAGAAATGTTACAATTGAATTAGATGTCCCTAGTGATGGACCCTAAGTACTGAGCATCAACAGTTGTTGGTGTCTCAAGAACAAACAAGTAATGAAATGATGCAATATAACTTATTGAGTATCCTGCCAAAGACAAATGGAAACTTAACCCAATCAAGGCTGTACATCTATCTAGGAATTTACAGGTAGAGGAGTATTTTAAACTGCAAGAAACATGTAAAACTACTTCCATGGTGGTATAATTCAGATGATCCAGACTATGGAAAATTTAGTTTAATATCTTACAATAGGCACTAAATTTTAACACAGGTTTTGGAGGGAACAAACCATATGCAAACCATAGCACATGTAAATCTTCAATTATTTCAAAATTAAAAGTGTAATTAAAAAAGAAAAATGATGACTATTAGCCAAAAACAAATAACTAAAAGAAATGAACAAAAATTGGGATGAAAGACTAACAAAATAGCTCATTCATACCTTTTCATACCTTTTGAGATGTTATAAAGGATCAAAGAAAATAAAATGGATAATTCTTTTAAAATGTAGTGCTGTTACAAATGTTAATGTTTTGTATAATTATTAAATTATACAATATGCGGACTATAGTGTAAACCCTAAAACTCAAAAGCTTTAGAACATCTTAAATGGGACTGAGTGTTGTTTTGTCCTTTGTTTTGGAACCATTGCTAATTCTTCAAAGATCAATAATGACATCTAGAGGAGAACAGATGTAACTTCCATAGCAGAATGTATTAGATCAGAAAAAGCCACCTCAATTGTATAGTAATCATAAACCTACTTTATTTCCAGACTTCCAACCCATAACTACCTGATGATTTGTACATTCATGCATTACATAAAGTAGCAAGAGAAGCTGGATATATGCAAAGTAAATCTTTACTTTTCTAACGCACCAAATATAGCATGTTCCCAAATAAAATCAGCATCTATATATCAATTTGTAAGTGAAATATAGAAATAAGTAAACATGACTTTGGTTTTGCTTCCTTTTTGGTGGAGGTAGAATGTAAAATTTGACAACTTAAAACTTTTTACTTATGAAGCATCTTGAAAGGCAAAATAAAACTAAAAAGGCTTTTACTTTTTAAGAAGACAATGATAAACGGAAGTCATATTTAGCTCTTTTTAAGAGAATTCTGGCTACAATACCTTTACTATTTTGAAAGGCTGTCACATAAGCCAGACTTTTACAGTGAGGGATTCAATGGACTTGATGATACAAAGTGCTCTATGGAACATAAAACCTGGGACACATATACATGACTGAACGAGGAACTAACATACTTACAAATAAAATATATACTGTATTTGGGTCTTCGGAGTTCCTGAATCAGATAATCCACATTCTCCTAGAAAATACAGAACAATTAAACAAAGCAAATATGAAGAAAACTCTTAAATCGAAAAGTAATAAGTATCATCCATTGATTGATTTATTTACTGAATCAATTGTATGCTGAGGACAAGACCATGTGTTAACTAGTGAGGGCTGAAGACAAAAAGGAAATATTAAATATAACAACTAGAATCATACATAGAATTTAATAGTATACATATATTAAAATTAATATACAGTTAATATTAACTACCTTTATTTTTTAATTCAAATTTTATTGTAAGGGTGATGTACAGGGAGGTTAGTTATAATTATATAAGTAAGATAAGGAGTCCATTTCTTTTCTTTTTCTCTTTTTTGTCAGTTGTGGAGCTTGAACTCTGGGCCTGTGTGCTGTCCCTCAGCGAGTTCAGCTCGAGGCTAGAACTCTTATCACTTGAGCTACAGCACTTATTCCAGTTTTTTGGTGATTAATTGGAGATAAGAGTCTTAAGGACTTTCCTGCCCTGGTTGGCTTTGAACCGTGATCCTCAGATCTCATTCTCCTTAGCAGCTAGGATTATAGGCATGAGCCACTGGCATCTGGCTAGTACATTTTTTTAACAGTGTTACCCCTGTGCTCGTTTTCTTATCTTGGCTTTATTAAGATAAAAATATAAAGGATGTAAGTTGGGTGCTGGTGGCTCACGCCTACTAGCTATTCCAGGAGCTGAGATCTGAGATCTGTTTCAAAGCCAACCCAAACAGAAAAGTCCCTAAATTTCCAGTTATCCAGAAAAAGAAGTGGAGCTGTGGCTCTAGTGATAAGAGTGCTAGCTTTAGGAATAGTGCCCAGGCCCAAAGTTCAAGCCCCAGAACTGGCAAAATAAATAAAAATGTTATTATATATATATGATGCAAATAATGTAATATAAAATAATTATGCAAATTTACTTCAAGATGCTTGTCTGTAAATTATATTCATATAATCAAAATCTTTATTTAGAAAATTAAAATGTGTGTAATCCTTTAACTTACTGGGACTGAAGAGTCTACACGACTGTAATGTTTGTGAAGTTTTGCAAACAACATGCTGACATTTTCTTTCATTATTTTAAAATATGATTGTTAGAAGCAAAACAACAGTTTTTATATGACCTTTCTAACTATGACAATTTCAACTATGAAAAGTCATGACATATATTTTATCTATATTTGAGACTATAACACATGGGTAAAGTTTTATATAAACTGGCTCCAAAACTAAACATTCTATGGTCTTTTAAAATTTAATATTCATTTTTCTTTACACTATGAAAAACAGCTTAAGGCATATTATTTACTAAATGGAGAAAAGTAAAATTATCATCTAGACTTAAATGCATTAAAAATTAAATGACAAAACCTTAAGGGCAAATATTTTTATGGCAGTCACGTAGGCTTCGTAGGTCTGCTATGTGGATCTTGAGCTCTCTATTTTCTTGCTTCAGTATCCAAGTGCTAAGAATTGCAGGAGTGTATCAATACATCTGGAAAAAATTATTTTTTGGTGATACTGAGTTTTGAATTCAGTCTTGTACTTGCTAGGCAGACACTCTACCACTTGAGTCACTCTATCTGCCACTTTTTGAAGTTTTTGGTGTTTTTTTTTTTTAATGATGCCAGTCCTGGGGCTCAAATTCAGGGCCTAGGCCCTGTTCCTAAGTTTTTGTACTCAAGGATAACACTTTACCACTTGAGCCATAGCTCCACTTCTGGCTTGAATTGGTTATTTTTGAAATAGGGACTCATTTTTTGCCCAGGCTGGCCTGGACATTGATCCCATTTGTGCTTTTTCCATAGCTGGAATAACTTGTACACACCACCATATCCAGCTGCTGGTTGATATGGAGTTTCCAGACCTTATTTTGTCTGGGCTGGCCTTGAACCTTAATCTCCTGCCTGTCTCCAAGGTAGCTAGGATTACAGGCTTCAAATAAAAATATTTTAAATCTATGATTACTTTCTCATAATATGCTAGGTAAAAAAGACGAAGCCTAAGCGAGTTTGAGAGTGCATATTGCTGTGAAAGAGGTTCTCTCACAGTTGGGGGAATAATGAATTAAATGATCTATTAAAACCTGTCTTGGGGGCTGGGAAGGTGGCTCAGTGGTAGAGCGCTTGCCTTGCATGCATGAGGCCCTGGGTTCGATTCCTCAGCACCACATAAGCAAAAAGAAAAAAATCCGGAAGTGGAGCTGTGGCTCAAGTGGTAGCGCTAGCCTGGAGCTGAAGAGCTGAGGGACAGCGCCCAGGCCCAGAGTTCAGGCCCCACGACCGGACCCAAAAAAAAAAAAAACCTGTCTTGAAACAAAATTTTATGAGTCAGAACAACAAATATGAAACAATTTATATTCATCAAGTTATATGAAGCAAATATTAAGTGTTCTCTGTAGCAAATACAGAAGACACATTAATGAGAGAAAATAAATATAACTTCTGCTCTCATAGAGCTTACTGCTGACAGGAAAGACAAATATTAATCACAAACCATATAACTTTACCATGACAAGTGACTGGGAAGGGAAAAGATAGTGCTGCGTTTAATCAAAGGAGTTTGACCTGGTCAGTAAGCCCCGGGAGGGTTTCCTTGAGGACTTGAGAAGTTCTAGACAAAAGGAGGAGCCCATGCGAAGTCCTGTGGCATGCTGGAATAAGAGGAAATGGAGTGGACTAAAAGACTATTGGTGTAGGTGTAGAGTACAAAATGGAAAAGTTTGAAATGAGGCTAAAGAAATAGTAGAAACTAGACCACAATGGGCCACAGAAAAGAGTTCTATGTAACAAAAGCAATGAGAAGTCATCTTAGGATTTCAAGCAACAGTGAAATAGTCAGATTTTTATTTTGAGAAGTACACAATGTACAAGCATGGTGAAAGTGCAATAGAGTTGAAGAACATGGATATGAAACAAGAGAATATACAAAATAAGATAGAAATAGCAAAGAATTTATGTGCCAGTCCTGGGGCTTGAACTCAGGGCCTGGGCACTGTCCCTGAGCTTCTGCTCAAGGTTAGCACTCTACCACTTGAGCCACAATGCCACTTCTAGCTTTTTCTGTTTATGTGGTACTGAGGAATTGAACTCAGGGTTCCATGCATGTTAGACAAGCACTTTACCACTAAGCCACATTCCCAGCCCTAGCAAAAGATTTTTAAAGGAGATGCTCAAATTTAGAAAGTGATGGACAAAAACTGAAAAACGAGTTGGGCACTGGTGGCTCATACACATGTAATCCTAGCTACTCAGGAGGCTGATATCTGAGGGTCATAGTTTGAAGACAGCCCAGGCAGGAAAATGAGTCTTTTATCTCTAAAAAGCTGAAGTGTAGCTGTGGCTTAAATGGCAGAACGCTAACTTTGAGCAAAAGAAGTCCAGTTGGAAATTGGAAAAGCAAAATTGAGTTACAGGAAGGTAGGATACATAACGGAAGGCCAATCTAGCAATCTAGTGACTATTGGGTCACTAACTATAGATGTAATCATGAAGGTAAAATTAAACTACTATTTGTTTCTAGGTATAGATGTGAATAAAATGGAAAAGGTTTAAAAATACTAACAACTATATATATAAGATTAAGTAAGTACCAGTGGTGTTAACTGAAAAGTATGGAAGTTAATCCAGGAATAAAGTGATATGAGTCTCTATCAGAGTAGTTAGTAACTTTGGGAAGTGCCATGAACCTCAATAGCATCTTAAAGGAAAAACTGGTTGAAAGGTGTACACCGATCTATGATAAAGAAAAGAATGAAAGTTATAACGGACAAACTAGGATAATTATGATACACAAATGATGATAATATAAATTTATTTTGCCTTCATAATGCTTTCAGGTCAGAATGCTCTACATTTGTCTGGGAAGACGGCGGTAGATCAAGTTTGTTTAGTACCTTTGTAGGTCGAAGAAAACAAATTGCCTTCAGGTGTTTCATGATCTCTCGATTTTGAGAATCAATGCGTTCAAAGAGATATACTTCCTTCTGAAGAATCTCTGATTGTGTATATACCATACTCACGATACCAGTCTGGAAAGGAAAAGAATTAACCAGGTGATGCTAGTTCAGAAAGAAAACCTTTAAAAAAAATTTAAGAAAGCACTAAGATCTAACTTGATAAGCTCTAAAATACAGAATAACATTCACTGAACATCCAAAACAGGAAGTAACGTGTCAGAATGAAAAACATGCTCTGTCGGAACAGGAACAATCCATAAATTGAACAAGAAAGATTTCCCATCTCACTCAAGTGTTTCCCTTTCTTTATGTCTGTGGCCAACAACCTGTCATTCCAGTTTGAGCTGTAACAGCTTTTCTTGGAAAACACCAGCCTGAGTGAAAACAGCAGGAGTGTCCTGAAGCTTCCACGTATTCTCACACAGGAGCTGATTTCTTAGTGGAGACACTGTGTCGGGTACAAGAAGTCTCCAGGCACCGATTCAGAGCCATTTAGATGGAAAACCCCCTGGGAAAGCCTCACACAACTTTCCAGTGCGACACAGGATTGACCCTCATTACCCCGAATTAAATGGCATTCGGACGGGCTACACACCCAGGGAGGGAGGACCCGTCCGCCCACCCACGCCGAGCCAAAGCCCACTCACCGTCTCTTTGTCCATGAGCAGCACTTTCATCCCAGGCCCGCTGTCCTCTATCATTTTGGAAATGTACTGCTTCACAGCAAAAACCACGTTCATGGTGGCGAAGTGTCAGGTGCCCCCCACGACTCTCCCCGCCCCCTTCCTCCGGCTGAATTAAATCCCCCCGCCCCCGGCTCAGTTGACCCGGTCTCAGCTGCTTCCGGCCAGGCGGGAGCTGAGTTCCGGAAGTTCGGGAAGCCACGGAGCTGGGAGTTGTAGTTCCGCTCGGAGTCCCGGGAGCCGGGCCTCTCCGCGGGAGGAAACCCCAGACCCGCGCCCTTCCCCGTCCGCCCTAGCCGGCCGGGGGGGTGGGGGGGTCTGCGAGCCCCAAACTTCCAGACCGCCCCCCCCTCCTGGCCTTCAGTCCCATAGGCCTGGCCGTGGCCTGAAGCCTCTCCTGCGTTGGCAGGGAGGATGGCGCCGCGTAGTCTGAGGCCGGCTGTGAGGCCGAAACGGGGCCGCGGGTGGCCGTGAGGGATGCGGGGAAGAAGCCGCAGGCTCCGGGCGCCGGGGACGGCGCGTGGTAAATCACACGCAGCGATGAGGAGGCCGTGGCCCACGCCGATTGACAGGCAGGGAGAGCGCCTGTGTGTCGTGGCTGAAAGCGAGGCCCGAGTTGGTTTTCCGCAGAGAAACACACTGCTGCAGTTCAACAGGAATTCGTTGAATGAGAGGACCAAAGGGACTATCTTTTAGGAATGTTGGGGGGCTTCAGACTGCCCCGGGGGGCCTGTACCTGGGCAATTGGGGGATGGTAGCTGGGTACCAGGTACAAGTCTGTTAGTTGGGTTAATGCAAATTGGTGTGGGTATATAAAAGGGAAAACGCACACATTTTTATTTAAGGAACTACGAAAGTTTAGCAACAAAATGGATATTTAAGATTATTGGCTGAGCATAGTGGTTTACCCTGCTTGTAATTCCAGCTAACTCAGGAGGCAAGACATTGGGAGGGTTGGGGTTCAAGGCCAACCCAGGTATAAGATTTGCAAGATCTGATCTCAGCCAATAAGATCAATATAGTGTGAATACATCTGCAGTCTCAGTTACGTGGGCAAGGTAGATCATGATCTGAGTGAGACCAGTCTGGGGAAAATATGAGGTCTTATCTGAAAAAAACAAACAGAACAAACACTAAAGAAAGAAAAGGTAGCGGTGGGGAAGTGGCTCAAGTGGAGCCGTGCTCTCCTGCCAAAGCCCTGAGTAAGTCCTCAGTACTACCAAAAGGTAAAGAAAAGGAGAACGAGATAAAGGAGGGGGGGAGAGGGAAGAGGAATAATATAGGAAGATTGTTTTTTAAGTGTCAGGAAGACTATAAGGTAGAGGTTAAGATTTCAGACTGTGGAATGGAATCAGCCAGAATTTAATTCTAATAATAATCAGAATTTAATTCTATGTTCTAGCTATGTGAATTTAGTAAGTTACATAACCTCTCTATGCCTCAGAATCTTTGCAAATGGAGAAAGTAACAGCGAACTCTGGCTAGTAGGAAAATTAAATGAGATAGTACAGTCTTTAGCCTACCTTAATTTTTGTTAGCAAATTATACCATGCTAATTTCACTATTTCTTAACAATATAAATGTATCTGGCATATTCTCTCCAGGGAATTTTTTTTCCAAGTCCTGGGGCTTGAACTCAGGCCCTCGGCACTGTCCCTGTGTTTCTTTTTGCTCAAGGCTAGCACTCTACCACTTGAGCCACAGTGCCACTTCTGGCTTTTTCTGTTTATGTGGTACTGAGGAATCAAACCCAGGGCTTCGTGTATGCTAGGCAAGCACTCTACCACTAAGCTACATTCCCAGTCCAGAAATTAATAAAATTTATAAGGTGAACTTTCAAATAGCATTGTTTATAAGTACTTATCATAAAAACCAATCAGAATAGATTATTACTGAGATTCCTTTTATGATCTCGATTCTGTTCTTGAGCTTTCATGTTATTACATATGTAGATAGCCATAAATATGACAAAATTGTTGACATGTTTCAAAGGAACAAACAAGCCATCTGAAGTACCCACAAATACATATTCTTGTATCTCCTTAAATCTCATTAAGAGTAAAGGAATCTGAAGTATAATAATTTTTTTTTGGTCGGTTGTGGAGCTTGAACTCTAGGCCTGGGCGCTGTCCCTGAGCCGTTCAGCTCAAGGCTAGCACTCTACCAATGAGCCACAGTGCCACTTCTGGCCTTTTCTCTTTATGTGATGCTGACGAATTGAACCCAGGGCCTCATACATGGGAGGCAAGCACTCTTCCACTGAGCCACCTCCCCAGCCTCAGTATAATAATTTTTTTTTTTTTGCGGTCCGGTCGTGGGGCCTGAACTCTGGGCCTGGGCGCTGTCCCTCAGCTCTTTAGCTCAAGGCTAGCGCTCTACCACTTGAGCCACAGTGCCACTTCCGGCTTTTTTCGTTTTGCTTATGTGGTGCTGAGGAATCGAACCCAGGGCCTCAGGCATGCAAGGCAAGCGCTCTACCACTAAGCCACCTTCCCAGCCCGAGTATAATAATTTTTATATTTAGTTTTCTTTAGAAATCTTTTATTATCTGGCTGGAGGCATGGCTCAAGTAGTTGAGCACTTGCTCATCAAGCATGAGACCATGAATTCAAACCCCAGGACTATAAAAAAGCCAGACTAAAGGTATGGCTCAAGTGATAGAGTGTCACTCATGAACAAAGCAAGTCAGATGAGTGCAAGGCCCTGAAAGCAATACTAATACTGTCCCCCCCCAAAAAAATATAGCATATCAAGCAAATATTTTACTTAAACATATTTCCGCTAGAAGAAGATGAAATCTCTTAGTATGCTATTACTCAAGAATCTTCATTTAAAAAAGAATCTTTTCATAATAATAGTAATAAAAACAGCTACCTTTTGTTGGTGTCCAACAAAATACTAATAGCACCTAGGCCTGTGCTGAGGCCTTCATAAATGTCTCTGCTAAGCTTTGCAACTTTTTTTATTGGTCATAGGGCTTGAACTCAGGGCCTGGGTGCTGTCAGTGAACTCTTTTGCCCAAAGCTAATGCTCTACCACTTTGAGCCACAACACCACTTTTTTCTGGCAGTTAATTGGAAGTAAGAGTCTTATGGACTTTCCTGCTCAGGCTGACTTTGAATTGTGATTCTCAGATCTTAGCTTCCTGAATAGCTAGGATTATAGGGATGAGCCACCAGTGCCCGGCTACAACTTTCTTTTGAAGTAGACATTATCTCCATATTACAGAAACACTGAACTTAAGAGAAGTTCAGTAACTTCCCTAAGATTCTACAAAGCAGCAAATTGAGAGAAGCATATTTTTCAATGAGCTTTTTATCATATTTCTTTGTATACATCCTTTATAAACACCTGAATTAGAACCTATATTATTTCTCCAGTAGAGAGTTCCCTTCTCTTCTGTTCTCTCTGTCCTTTCTGCAAGTATAGTGTCCTGCACTTAAAAGAGACCCAATAAATATTTAATGTTGGCGAAACTCATTACTGGGCACACTGCTACAATGGCATGTTAAAGTATAGTTTTACATGGGCAGAACAAACAAAGAGATCAATATACTTATATAGGTGATTCATGCCAAAAATCTTAGTGCATGATATGAGATAAATACTGAGAAAAATAAGAAACCTTTCTCCACATTTCCAGGTCAGTTACAGAGTCATAGATTTAATTATTCTGGTGGTCTTGTAACAAATGACATGACATTTGTTTTTTTCTGAGCACTTTCCAGCAGTAATTAAAGAGAGAATCAGTTCCATAGATCTACGGATTAAGAATTTACTTGAGAAATTATCAGCTTTGTTAAGTGTTAATTTGCCTCTGGATTTTTTTCAGCACTCAGATAGAGGGCACCCTCGGACTACCAAGAAGAAACTAATACCTTGTGCCTGGCTGAGTAAGTAATGGTTACAAGAACAGCCGGAAATCATTTAAACATTGTTTGAGCTGAAATGGATTCCAAAATGTTTCTTAAATCCGTGTATAGCAGAGCCCTGGTAGCTCACAACCTATCATCCTAGCTACTCAGGAGGCTGAAATCTGAGAATAGTGGTTCAAAGCCAGCAGGGGTAGGAAAGTCTATGAGACTCTTATCTCCAATAAACCACCAGAAAACCAGAAGTGGCACTGTGGCTCAAGTAGAAGAGCGCTAGCCTTGAGCTGAAGAACTGAGGGACAACGCCCAGGCCCAGTGTTCAAGCCCCATGACTGACAAGAAAAAAAAAAAAACTGTATATGGTTTGTGTGTGTGTGTGTGTGTGTGTGTGTGTTTTCATGTAGCTGTTTTGTGTGTGTGTGTGTGTGAAAATACCATACAGAGGGGTTACAGTTACATGGGCAAGGTAATGAGGACATTTCTTATCAAGCATTGTTGCCTCCTCCTTTGTTTCCCCTTCCCATCCCTTTCCATCCCCCCTCCCTTGTTTGTATTTTTTGAAACAGGGTCTTACTATGTTGCCCAACCAGGACTTAAACTCCTAGGCTCAAATGATCCTGTCTCAGCTCCTGTGCGCCCTAATATTTTAGACTATCGCATCTACTATGTTACGTGTTCATTTATGTAACTATAAATTTTTATCAATTTGTTGCATAAATTACTTCTATATAATTTTTTTAATTTTTTTGTTTTTGTTTGTTTTGTGGCCCTCGGAATTGAACTCAGAGCCTCATAGGCAAGCACTCTCACTTGAGTACTGTCCCTAGTCCTTTTGCTTCTAGTTTCATTTTCAGTTAGGATCTCATACTAACTTTGGGCTGGCCTAAAATCATGATCCTCTTACCTTTGCCTCCGGAGTAGCTGGGACCACAATCTGCTTGATTGTGTGTTACTTGTGTGTGTTACTTGTGAGTGGTTTTTTTTTGTTTTGTTTTCTTCTGTTTTATTTTCAGCACTAGTGTTTGAGCTCAGAGCTTTATGCTTGAGTCAAGGTACTCCTCTATTGCTTATATCATGCCCCTATATCATTCACAGTACTGGTTACTAGATTTGTACTGATATTCATTCAGCCAATAAGCATTTGTTGTATACAAAGTATATACTAGCTATAGAAATACAGCACTAGGGCTGGGAAGGTGGCTCAGTGGTAGAGCACTTGCCTTGCATGCTTGCGGCCCTGGGTTCGATTTCTCAGCACCATATAACCAAAAAAAAAAGC